CTAAGCGCAGAACACGAATTAACAATAATAAAATCGATTCTAACAAAGGCGACAGTAAAGCCGTTCTAATGTAATGGTGACGTTGCTGTGAAAATATAAATGGGAATAATTAAACAAGTTACAGTGTCATCGACAAGCGTGTCGTGAGGGCTGTGTCACAAACAGGAATAGAACCGAGCGCCCCACCGAGTGGAGATGAGGTGTTTCCAATTTACCGACATCTGTACCGCTCAAGATTTACAACCGGCGCTAATTTAAAAAGATCTCGGATGACACAAGGAGCTAAATTTATAATCTGTTACAGTTGCAAGTGTTTGTTTTATGATTTCGTTTCATTAAAGCGACGGAATTTGTTTAATAAAAGGACACTTATATTGATAGTGACGTAAGATGCTAAATTTATTTACACAAATAACAATTAAACGTTGTTTATTACTAAAGAGATATACAACATGTAACAAAAACCCTGTGGTTCCCGTTAAGTTTGTTATCAAAATCAGTATTCAAACGCAATACTTTACTTCCAAATCCACCATATAAAAGTTAATTTTAATTCTTCTATACACTACGTTAAAACCCTTTGAAGACTCCTTTTAGTAAAAGTTAATTTTTAAACGATTTTGAGATTATCATTTCAATAGTTAAAAAAAACATTACCTACACCAGGGTTTTCTCCTGTATCGAGGAGGCAGTTTAAAAACATAAATTGCTCAAAGATAATCATCCAGACCTGGAACAATTATTTGTAGTAGGCACACAAATCCTTGTTCCGTGCGGAATTGGAACCTGAGGACCCCGTTGCTGCTACTCGTTGCTAAGCCACTGCAACCACGGAGCCGTCTAACAGACGGAGCCGTAGAACACTAAAAGTACTATTTGGTTTATTAGGCTACGTACTAAGTAACTGATACAAGTACCGCTATTTACACAAAGATCTTCAGTGCTCTCCAGACGTTTCGCAACGAAAGGAACATGAAAGGAACAATGGACATTTATTCATGGTTGAGTAAACTTGGTCTTATGATATTAATTTTTATACAATGTTCATCTATCGGTTTATTTGTAGTTTCTTGTTATGATATGCATGTAACGTAGTGTACAACTTTGTTCAAAATATGATATTCAAGTACGAACGAAAGTTTTTAATTAAACTAGATAGATCTATCAAGGTGACTATATCTTCCAAAATATCTCGCATATTTTGTGGATAAAACATAGCTTGGATCACTCATGGCATTGCCATCTATCTGTTCGTGAAGTTTCATCACATAAGTCGCCACTTTCAGTCGGTGTAGCCATTCCGGATATTACTCCGGACAGAGAGACGGACAGACAAAAAATCTTTAAATAGTTATTCATGTCTTGATGATATGCAAATAACTGCCTGAGCTCGATAAGACAGTTATTTCGAAATTACAGACAGACACTTCATTTGTTTTAATATGTGTAATAGATAAATAACACAATTTTTTTCAAATTATTTTTCTGAGATAGAAATATCAGTATTGCTATTAGTCTCGATATCTACTCCAGATAATTACTTACTAGTACGAGTAGTACTTGTGTTAGGGGTGGTTCACGAGAGTAATAATAGTCGAAAGGCGTATTTGATCCTACGATTTTTGAGTCGCGGTCTTAGCTAACAACTTAAATTTTTTAACAATTCTAAACAGTATTGATCGGCAGATTCAAACACACGATCTATTAATTTGGCCGTCGGTTCACCATTCGCCTACCAAAGAGAAGATACTACTAACAAATAAATCGTATTTCAATGAAGTCGAGTAGTTTAATGCTTATTTGAATTCTACTTGTATAATAATTTACTCGTATATATGTATACTTACTCCGACAAAAATAACCTTAAACCGTTTCAATAATAATAATAATAAATATATATCTCTCTGAAATATGGTCTCGTGGATCGAAAACTGCCGTATTATAAGTACTTGCCGGAAGCCGTACTCGAAAATGACCGCACCAGGCTCTACTGGGACCGGGCCATCATCACAGACAGGACTATTCTTGCGAATAAGCCTGATATTGTACTGATGGACCGGGCACAGTCAAGGATATTTTTGGTCGACATTACCATTCCTTATAACGAGAACCTCGTGAAATCCGAAACAGATAAGCTGACAAAATATCTGGACCTGGCTCACGAGGTGACCGACATGTGGGGTGGACTGCCGGCCGAAATTATACCTGTAGTCGTCTCTGCGAATGGGTTAATTCCAGTCAGCCTCTCGGGTCACCTGAGGTGACTGGGACTCCGTGATGGACCGCTCCAAGCTCAAATGCAGAAGGCGGTGCTCCTCGATACCGCCCGCATCGTCCGCAGGTTTCTTTCCCTTTCCCCCTAACCCTCGGCCGTTTGGTCTCCCCTACCGAGGGCTTCCATCTGGTTGGGTTTTTATATATTTATGTATTTTTTATGTATTTATTTTATTTTATTAATATTTATGTACGTTTACCATGATTATTTACAATTATATATTTATATTTCCCAACCAGATGAGAAAACTTTATAGATACCACATAATAATAATAATTCTTTATTATCAAAAATAAATCACAAGAAATTTTATGACGTCTTCGACTCATAAACTAGACGAGTCTGTATCTTAGGAATCAGAAACATTTTCCATTTATTAACGTAATAATATAGATATTAACTAATTAATTAAGAGCACTTTAAAATGTTGCGCAAAATAAATTGATAAAAAATCTAAAGTATTTAAAGAAAAAAAAAACTAATTAACATATCATTTTATAGGTGGTAGAGCCACGCTGCGGTTATAAAGTGGTTGTAACACGAATGGGTCGACTCGACCGGGGAAAGACCACGCTCTCACACAATACCAGCGGGAAATAGCAACTAAATGCTGCTGTGTTTCTTATAGTGAGTAGAGAACAGGAGAACCATTTGACTGGAAACGAGGCATTCCACATAAGTCTTCAGGGGTGACAAAGTAAACAATACGATAGTAATAAGCAAAACGATTACAAAAATCGTCTTTGCTATGGGAGATGCATTTGTCAGCAGACTGCTTAAGGGCTGATAACAAGAAGAAAATTATGTGTAATGTCGTTGAAATGTTTAATATGTAAGATTTCAGTTAGAGTATTTCAATCTCTTGACTCTGAACTCTGACGGTACAGAGACTATTTCTATCTTTTCATGTATGAGTAATCTAAATCTATTTGTTATAGCTTACATATTCATCTTTTATTGAAATGATTTATCTCATATAAATATAAACTTAACAGTGGACTGTATGACAGTATCACTTAGCGCTTGGCAATGCTTATTGTCGATTGCAGTACCTGATATATAAAACTTTTGACACTGCTCCCCGTTCGCGATTTGAATACTTTCATTAAATGACACATGTCGTTGGTAGTCCTAGATTAATTGGAAAAATTAACTGGTCTTCCTTACTTCCTATTATAGTAGACTGCACTCAAATCCTTTACAGTAACAAGATTAAAAACCTAGGGTTCTACCTCGACTCCTGTATTTCTTGGACTTCGCAGATTAATATGATTAGTAGAAAAACGTTTACTGTGTTAAGCTCTTTACGTAGATTACATAATTTTCTTCCCACGGCAACAAAAGTTACGCTCACTCAATTTCTTCTTCTGCATATCCTTGACGATACTGATATTTGCCATGTTGACATTATCAAGCAGGTTAATAAGCTTAAGCGCATTCAAAATTTATGAATTAGACTTACATTTGAGCTCCATCAATATGATCACATCTCTAAATTTGGCAAATAGCTCAAATGACTCCCGATTCGCCTTCGCAAGAATACTCACATTCTCTCTGCTTTGTATGGCGGGCTGTTTAATCCTTACACAAACATTATTTGAAATATCGTTCCAGTATCTTTCCTTACTCATAATGGCTTCTTTTGATCATCTGCCAATCTTTCTCTCTATACCTTTGCACTCTTCCTCCTTTTTTAAGAAATTTTTCACTGTCACTGCTATGCGTTTATGGAATTCTTTACCTTTCCACATTCGCCGCGTCGTTTATTATTTCAGTCTTGTTAAATCGTATTACTTAGAATGCTATTAGAGAAATTACCTTTCCTCTTTCGTAATCTTTTCATTTAATTTCTTTATTATATTATACATTATTTGGACTTACATATATTGAAATGTATTTTCATCGTTCTTTTGTGCACCCTCTTTATTTTAACTATTGTTTGCATCAGTCCTCTACGCAAAGGTATTCTGGAAGAGATCACTTTCAGTGATAAGACCGTCTGTTGTACATCTTATACTTTATATTGTACTCTACTCGTTTTTCTGTATTTGGTTTACAATAAAGACTATATAAATAAATAAATATTTTCATCCTAGTATTTACGAGTTGGTATGTCGTCGTCTATCAGAAGCCGTGAAATTCTTTTGGTGTTTCCTATAGGCGCTTCTTACGACATCCACGCAACGAAATGAGACGATGGCGATAAAGCGATAAATAAACAAAAAAACAATATCGTAAAATAAAATATTATGTGAATATGTATTAATTGATGACAAAAATGTCCTCAACTGTGCCAAATTAATCACTCGATACAAAAGTTATTCGCCAGATTAATATTGTCCTAGATTATATATTCCTATGATAAAATATTACGTTTATATAACAAAATTTTAATTAATTTCACTTATATGCTTTTTCATGAAATGATTTTTTTTTTCGATGTAAGAAATTAAACCTTCGTTTGTCAATTTTTTTTTAATATCTACCAGTTTAACTCATGAAAGCGGGCGAGCAATACTTATAATTGTATTGAGTGTCAGGTAGCGTTAGCAAGACGATAAAATATTTATTGAACAATACAAGTAGTTAGATTTGTGATTTGTGTTTCATTAAGTAGTGAACCAAAATATTTTGCTTTGTGTTCAATATTTATTTAGATTCATCATCATATACTCGTACATATTAGAAATTTAACTAATAGTATTATGTTAACTATAATAATTTTTTAACTGGAATCATAACTAGTATTGTCCTCCGTGTCAGTTTCATCACCGCTATCGTCTTGCAAATTTATATTAAATTCAAATTCGGTATCAAAGTATTTCATGTAGTCAGCTTCTTTCTTAATTATACTATTGAATGCATTACGCCAGGTTTCGCTAGTTATTTTTTCAATACTATCGTAAATAAGTTTTTCTGTATCACTATCAATCATATTTTGTTCCACGTCTCCTAAAGCAACAAAGTTTTTAAGAACCCCCCATATGTTCTCTAAAGCATTTAGCTCAGGGTGGTAAGGAGGCAGGCGTAGTACTCCAAATCCTTTACTTTTGATGTAGTTATCGATTTCGTACGCTATACAATTACTTTTATATTTTTTTATTATATCATATATCTCAACTTTGCGCATACTCGAGTCGAATTGTATACCCTTGGAAGTGAGCCATTGCTCCATATCAGACTTTTTAGAGGCAGTCGTCGGAAATTTCTCTGCACGTGTATTGTGATACGAAGCTTTATCTAATACTATCACAGAACGATCTGGCAAATTCGGCAACAACTTATTATTCAACCATCTTACATAATTTTCAAAACTCAAATTGGCATTGTTATCCCCGGTTGCTGAATTAGCTTTATAGACTAAACAGGCGTTATAAATAAAACCAGCTTCGGTCCCAGCGTGAACTAAAACAAAACGCGTGTTTTTTCGATCATGTGTTTTGAAAACGTAACTTTCGCCCGTATAAACAATAGGACGTCCTTGAGAACGGTATTCTGTTATTTTTTTTAAATATTGTAATCTCAACATTTGAATATCGTGCCGTTCAACTAAAACTTTTCTATTATTATCGGTTTTACGCCACGTAAAGCCCAATTTTCTTAATAACTTACGAAGCGTCGATAAACAACCATCGAAACCAAGTTTTTCATTTAAGATCGACCGTATTTTTGGCAATGTCGGAATTTGTTTATGTACAATATAGAATTCTTGTATTGTACCCCGAACAAAATCAGCCGTAAGCCCATCAATGTCGACTTTGTTTTCTCTCTTTCTTCTGTCTTTCATCGGCGACAGAAATTTTGAAGAAGTACTAGGGCGATCCCTTTCTTCTTTTAATATTCTTTGAACGGTGCTTTCACTAACACCCGTCGCTTCTGCAGTGCGCTTTGCTATATTACGCAAATGTGAAATATCACAGTTTGGTTCTTTAAAACTTAGCGTGAATTCATATTCTGTCTTGAGAAAATGATACACACTTGCAATCATTTGACGACCCTTAAATAAACAATACATAATTAGATTCATATTTCATGCTACAGTTATGGAGAATCATTAATTTGCTTACCTCACTGCGAACAACTCTTCTTCGTTTACTTTCCATGCTAATGAAACTCTATGCTAAGTTTTGACGCGATACAGTTATTAGTAGTAGCGCGAACGATGGCTCGGGCGATACTGAGGCTGAGCATACACACAAATAATATGCCGGCGTAACTAAGGCCAACTACAATTCGAAGCAAGTTCAATATTCTGTTAAAATATTGCCGTCTCGCTTGTGCTACGGACACAACAGTTTAGGGGCATGGCACGTAGCTATACCACAGAGTAAGGAATCTTTACTCACGTAGCTATACCATCGTTTCCATTTAACTCCATCCTCCCATGCACAAACCTTCCAATAAATAGCAATTCTATTCACATTACATTAAAATGTTGACTAATTGCGTTATTTTTTTATATTTTTTGGTGAAACGTTAGTAAATTTACATATTAGTAATGCAGTTTGTTAAATATTTCCTAAGAGGTCTAGACCCCAAATTATACTTTACTCCAGGGGTTGCCAAAGTGTATGCCGCGGCGCACACTTTGACATTCTCCGAAAACTAAAGTTATGTATTTCGCAGGTACAAAATATACCGGATTTTCAGCTGTAACTAGAATAAAGAATAAATATTGCTCAAAGATCAGTGTGAAACAATAAAGAGTAGCGGTTAGCCTTAGCCGCTTAGAAAAATATGTGGAGATCACTAAGCTCACACGTTATATTGACTAAGTTGCCATTGTATTTTATTTAATATTTTTCTTAAGTAATAAATGTATTCTTGTCTTTCATTATAAGTGTAAAAACTTAGCTACATATTGTGGATGTTTTAATTTTTGTGCCTATCTACTTAATATCATTGTACCCGATTTCGACTAGCCAGAACGCCGAGATAAAATACTAAACCTATAAGGGCGTCGAGATCTGAAAAAGTTTGGAATCCCCTGCTTTAGTTGTTTTAACCTATTATTTATTCTGTGCTATAACTACCTACCTCATAAGCTACCAAACTGTACTGCGTTTTAAATTCTCAGATTATATAACAAACTTGAATTTTATTTAGGTTTAATTCACTGTCGATATAATATTATGTCTCAGGTCTCCTCTCATTTCTAAAAGATATGAAGCAATGTTTTCTGCGCGTTGCTCCAACTCGTGCCAGACTTCACATTTCCTCAAAATATCATATCATTTTTTACATGCAGGTATCTTGAAGAAGCTTTCGTTCACCGCCAAGCACGCTACTACGTCCCAGCCACACTGACAATGGTATCGGCGGGAATCAAACCAGGACTACTCGCTTACTTTGAAAATTATGACGAGCACTTTGCCCCTGAGTTACCACATCTATAATTAGATGTAATGTAAATTTTACACACATCGTTGTGTGTAAATTTACTGTGTTTAAAATCTTATTAATAAAACAAATCAATTCGCGATGTCAGTAAACTCGGGCTACATTATTTTTAAACGTTACTCCCACATTAGGACTTTCTCCTGTATCATGGAAGCAGTTGACATACATAAATTGCACAAGGACAGAGATCCAGACCCGGGGCAGTTATTTGTAGACCATACGAATACTTCTATACGATACGAATCCTTGCGAGATTCAAACCAGCGGTCTGTAGCACCACGATCAGTCAGTGATTCTTCTTTAATAAAATAACAAATTTAAAGCTAGGATAAAGTTGACACACGAGCACACAGTCCACCTGATGGTAAGTGATTGCTGTGGCCCATAGACATCTACATCTATCCTCGATGACGAAACAAAACGCAGATGCGTTGTCATCCGTGAGGACTAAGATGGAATGCCTCGTTTCCTGTAAAAGGGTCTCTGGTTCTCTACACTCACTATACAAAACACAGCAGCATTAAGCTGCTATTTTACGCTGGTATTTTCTGAGAGCGTGGTCCTTACCCGGTCGAGCCAACCCATTCGTGCTACAACTATACTAGTAATATAGCTTCAGCATGGCTCTACCACGTAAAAAACTATTCTGATAAATTATATATATATATATATATATATATATATATATATACCGAAACAAATTATTGTTCTGATGGTGATTGACCTGATTTATATGTAAACATATAGCAATTTTTGACAATACGTTAAAAAGTTAACAGAAGGTCATGTAAAAAAACATCTGTTTTCCAAGTCATTGTATAATTGAGACACAAATATTGAATACATACATACATGCAAATAAATAATAATGGAACCTTGAGACTTTTATGGCGGCGAGACGAATTCAGGGCTGACAAACATAATTATATTTCCGTCGTTTTCCTTTGTTATAAATGAAGAAACAAAAAATTGGTACATAAATACGGTTCTTTCTTACTCGATTACCTGCCACTTAATCTGCGTAGAACTTAAACGAAACGTCGTCATTGATCATTACAGCCGAAGGTGTTGTGAAGACAAGTCCACTGCTGAGTGACGACTTGTGAAGATAAGTCCACTGCTGAACATAGGCCTCCCCCAAGGAATGCCACAAAACACGGTCCTGAACCACCTGCATCCGTCGACTTCCTGCAGGATATATTAAAGAAAGGATCGTATTATATATCTATACGTGGTAGAGGCGTGCTGCAGCTATATTAGTAGTAAAGTTGTAGCACGAACTGGTCGGCTCGACCAGGGAAGGACCACGCTCTCACAGAATACCAGCGTAAAATATCAGCTTAACACTGCTGTGTTTCGTATCTTCTTAGTCCTCACGGGTGAAAAACCATCTGGATTTTGGTTCTTTATTGAGGATAGAAGTAGATGTCTATGGGTCACATAAACCACTTACCATCATGTAGACTGTGTGCTCGTTTATCACCACTCATGCACACACACACATGCATTTTTGTATTCAAATTATAGTTATTCCTCAGGACTTATTCCTGTTCAAATATTCAAGAAGTAATGTGTCGTTGTTACAATTGGTTTATTTTATTTCAAGTACGATATGTTTAATGAAATGGGTCCCTGCGTTAGCTAAATAAAAGGCAATAAAATGCTGCTATGTTTTGTATGATGGGTGTTGAGAACCGGAGGCCCTTTTTACTGTTAGCAAGACATTCCAACTTAGTCCTCAGGGGTGAAAACAAATTAGCATTTTGGTTCTTAATCGATGATAAATGTAGGTGCCTATGGACCACAGTAACTGAACTGTGCTGGTTTGTTACCCTTACTTCCATATATCTATTATACTCTATCTATACATACGTACATATAAATAAAATTGAAGTATCTATCTGTAATATCGAAATAGCTGCCTTATATTGAGCTAAGGGGGTTATTTGCGTTCCATTAAATTATGAAAATAATTTATTTTTTCAATCTATCTGTATGGCCTAATTTTCAGAATGGCCAAACGGATTGTAATGAAACTTTACAAACGGATAGAGAGCAATGCTAAAAGTGATGGAGGCTATTGTTTATCTAAAAAACTTGGACATTTGATTATCTTAAATCTCTATAAGGCCACATTAATAATTCTTTCCCAGGCGAAACCGAGGCGGGTTGCTAGTAAGTAATAAAAAGCGTTTGTTTCCACGAGAGAACTAAGCTTCTTAAATTCTGGTTTTCAAAAGTTTCATTAATTAAAAAATGTAAAATAACTCAAATTATTTTTAGTGGTTTTATGGTGCCGATACTCTTAGGCGGCTACTAACAGGGCACGGCACTGTAAGGCTTTAAGGTCAATCTCTGAATCCGTTAGCTTGCTGAGGACAAACGCAACTAAACGTAACTATAAGTCTATTTGAATAATCCATCCATCCATTCGTTACAGCCTATAAAAATCCACTGCTGAACATAGGTCTACCCCCAAAGATTGTCTCATTTTACCACCTTAAATGTCACGCTTGGCACGCGGTTTTGTAACCGCATTTTTTATTATTTTGAGTCGTTATCAAGAAGATTCTGATGTCCAACTCCTGTTTCAGTTTCCCTCTCTTACCTTTTACTACACACACGGGACCACCAGGGATATTCTTTCGTCGTCACTGCCAATAGAGACCCGCATACTGTTTACACTTGAGTGCTGACTGATCAACAACATATAATTATTTGAATATGTAGATTAGACATTGTAACTTTTTGTCTACATACCTGGCTTTTTGTTTGTTGGTTCGTATTCTGTTGTCGGGCCAAAAGAAGTCATTGGGTTTTTCTGTCGAAAAACTTCTGTTAGGAAACTGTCAGGAAGTTGGCAGTATTTCGACCCCGTGTCTCTCAAAGTACATATGGACGCAGAGTTCTGCGTTTGGTCTATCTACTTTCGTGTCGGAATGCTATCCCATCGAATTATAAGAGTTAAAAGTGAGCGGAAGGGAGTGCGCATATTTAACAGAGATAAATTTGGTCTGTAGAATATTTCTATTAAATAATTATACGTTAGCTAAACTTGTTAGTATTGTGTTTCATACAGTAAAAATGTATTTTAGGTAATAATTATTAATCTAGGCTGTAGTCTAGAATAATTGCTGGGTGTAGCCCATGAATGCATCATATTGTTCATAATCAGCACAGTTGTAAACGCTGTCGTGGCATAAATAATGCTGTTCCCAATCTAAAGTCCCTTTGACATTTGGCTTTGACTATTTTGAAACGACATACCATTATTTGTATATATTGATACTTTTGTTGCGGCCACAATAATGTATCGTAGTTTTACGTGCATTATTCTGTTTGTCTTAATTTTTTTTCTTCGTTTAGAGGCACTTCGTTTGACAGTGCAGTTGGTAGTTTTAGTAAAGTACACGATTATAGACGTTTCGCCCCGTCACAACTTCTCTGCATGATTTTAGATCCGGTAAAGCGGAAACGATACCGAGTAATATCGGTCATTAAAAATGTTAAATACAAATTCCACTAACTGACGATGGGGTAGCAGCATTATCAATGGAAGGGTTGTAGGTTGTACTGTGGGAGGTTATA